GGGGGGAGGGGGAGACCTCAAGGAACCAGCGGAATGTTGTGTGTTTCATTGGTGCTACTCTGATTGACTCATCCCTTTCTTGTGGCCCTTCTGTGAGGGGATGTCCAGTCGTCTACAGATGGGTTTGGGGTCTCTGTTCTGACTCCCCTCGTTCTCAACCATATGGTTTTTGTTTGTTTGTTTTGGGTGTTCTGTTGCCTCCTGATCCCAGTGACACCTCATGATGGCACAGGCTGGTGTATGTCTTCCATGTGTGCTTGTTGCTTCTGTGCTAGATGGCCACTTGTTTAATGTCAAGCCATTAAGACCCCAGACACCATATCTTTTGATAGCCAGGCATCGTCCACTTTCTTCATCACATTTGCTTATACACCCATTTGTCTTCAGTGATTGTGTCGGGAGGGGAGCGTCAAAGAATGCCAGGTGTTTAGAACAAAGTGTTCTTGCGTTGAGGGCAGGGCTTGAGCAGAGGCCCAAAGTCCTTTCACTACCTCAAGGTATTGTCATATAACATATGTATATTGTCTCATACCTCTATTTACATATGCACACACCTGTCCCTCTATCCATAGCTTTGCTTCCTAGACCTTTCCTCTGTTTGCTTTTACCTTCCTCCTGCCCCACCCTCACCCTTGCTCTTCTTCTGCCTTGTAGTAATTCCCGTCAGCTAGATTTATATTGCTCCAACACCCCCAGGATCTCTGCGTCCTCCTCATTGCTTTTAATTCCCCACGTGTTCCCCGTCTAGGGTGTTGTTTGTTCATTGCTTCCATCTCCCACCGCCTCCTCCCCCAAGTCCCTCCAGAATCTGCTGTCCCATTGCTTTCTCCTCGAGCTGGATTCTCATTGCCTACCTTCTATAGCTAGGCAAAATCAACATTAACAGAGACAAAGCAAAATATTGAATAAAAAGAAAAATAATCCACTGTGTGTTTAATATAAATCGTAGATAGCATTTATAGTGAATGTATGCGATGGTACCCCCCAAAAGCGATGCTCATTTGTTTTTTGATGTGAGGGGCATACTGCAATTGGAGTTCCTTCCACCAGTTCAGACTGTTCAAGCTTTCTGTTTAGAGGTTCTGAAAATATTGCCTAACTCTTGTGTGGAAAAAAAAGGCCTGATTTGTGGCAGACGAGACTGGTTTTGCCACCACGATAATGCACCTGCTCAACACAGCCGTCTCAGTCTGCCAGTTTTGGACAAAAACCAACCTTCCTCTTTTGCCCTATGCACCTGACTCACCTGACCTCGCTCCATGCAACCTCTTTTTGTTTCTGTGAATGAAGAGGGATTGGAAAGGACAGCAATTTGATGACGTAGATGAAGTGACGGCAAAAATGATGGAGGTGTTGCCAGCCATCTAAACATGAGTTTGAAAAATATTTCTAAGAATGAAACTGCATTGACAAATGTATGAAGTGTAATGCAGAGTACTTTGAAGGTGATAAGGTTGTTGTGTAAAAAATTTTAAATATAGAGCCTTGAAAAATATTATGTGTTTTTTGGGGGAGTTTTTTTGGTACCCCCTCGTAATAAAAATGCATTCCTTACCCATCCATTCAGGGTTTTGATTTAAATATACTGACAAATATTTTAAAAGAAAAACTAACCATATAAACATATCTTTTATACTAGGAGAAAATGTCACAGGCAAGACAGATCTGCCCAGAGCGGATAGAAGTACAGAAATCTGCATCAATTCTAGACAGAGAAATTAATCGATTAAGGCAGAAGATACAGGCAGAGCATGCCAGTTACGGTGATAGAGAAGAAATAATGAAGTAAGTGGGTTGGTCGTTTTTCTGCTTTTTATATTATCCATACATACTATCAAAATATATATACTGCATAAAATTGATATATACATCTTTATGTATAATAGATATTTATACATACATACCAGAAATTTGGATGGAATGTTACTCTGGACAGTTATAACTTGTTTATGTTTGTTAGTAGCAGTAAATGTAAATATTTTTTCACCTAAATTATTACAAAGCTCACTATGGAATGGCATTTGAACATAACATTTTCATACCTCTAAGAGTCATGTAGAAAATGAAAGTGTTCAGCTTCATGAGTAGTCAAAGGAAATACAAATCAAAATGATTAGAAAGTATGTTTTTAAACCATCACATTGAATAGGATGGATAAGAAAACAATAATGCCAATCATATTTCTCTGACAAAATGTTCTCTTATATCATTGGTCAGAAAGCAGCTCTGATAGCTCAGTGGTGAAGTGCTTGGCCGGGAGAAAGGCCTGCTGGCAATCTGTACCCATAAAGAATTACAGCCCAGAAAACCCATGATGCAGGTCCAATCTGCCACCTGGGGCCACTGGGCAAGAACGAACACCACCTCACAACTACACAAAAAGGATAGTTAAAGCACATGTTCTGACATGACAGTACCTGAGTTTGAATTGCATTTCTACCCTATGGCTTAGAGAAATCTAATTGCTATGGACCAACTTTCTTATCTATAAATGGATAAAATTGTACTTCTTTACTGGATTACTATGACGTTGAATGAGATAATCTGCCACAAACAATCTTAAATAAGCAAAACAATTGCCCTTGAGTTCATCCCTGCTCTTGGCAAACCCCTGTGTTTCAGAGTAGAACTACTTTCTATGGTTTTGGTTGCTCGGGGATTACTCTTAAATATGTTGTGTTCTTGGTGAAACTTCCCTCGTGTTTTGGAAGCAGATCCCTTTCTCAAGGAGCCTCTCCATGAGCTTGAACCACCAACCTTTTGGCTAGTAGTCAAATGTGTGAAACATTTGTGCCATCTATATTAAGTGTTCATTATTTTTAATATGAAGGCCTTTCTGAAAGACATTTAGGCATATATATCAACCCCTGAGCCAGACCCTCTGCCACTGAGTCAATTTCAACTCAGCAACCCTTTGGGACAATACAGCTGTGCTTAAGGATTTCTGAGACTACATCTTTACGGGAGCAGACAGCCTCATCTGTCTCCTCCTGAACAGCTGGTGGGTTTGAACCACTAACCTTGCAATTAGCAGCCTAAGGATTAACCCACTGTGCTAAACACCATGATTAGGCCAAGTACGTAATTGTACTGCTGTAACATAGTCTAAAATAAGAAAAGCAATGTATTCCCAGAGGTATTTATTGCAACTTCATTTGTAATATGGGAAAATTAGAAATAGGAGTAGGAGGATGATGACAGTGAAAAAATTATAGCTACTCTACTATACCGAGAACTTCTTATATTTTAACAAAAGCCTGGGAATCGGTATAATCTTTTTAGATGGGTTGAAAGTTTGCTGAGTGAGTGGCCTTTCCCTTCATACATACTTTGACAATGTGACAGCTCTCTTCCATTTCCTTCCCCGGGTTTGCTGTGTGCATTCATCCTTCTTAAATCCTTCCTGCCATTGGGCTTTGACCAATGCTTTGACAAATGCTGCCCTTTTCATTTTGTGTGATAAGTGGTTCTAGGAGTGCATACCTCGCTGGTAATAACGTTCACCTTAGAGGCAATTGTTTAGTTGAAAGGTGAACCATAAAAGAGTGTGGCATAGTGGTTATGCACTGGGCTGTGACCCACAAGGTCAGCGGTTCTAAACCACCAGCAGCTCCAAGGGAGAAAGAAGGGGCTTTTTCTACTCCTGTTAGCAGTTACAGTCTCAGAATTTAGCAGGGAGCAATTCTTCCCTGTCCTGTTGGGTGGCTATGAGTTGACATTGATGCACTGACAGTTGAGTTCTTTGAGAAGGAACCTAATACTGGGGGCTCCACCCATCTCTCTCTACCAGTCACCCGTTTTTTTTATGATGTGGAATGTGATTTCATATTTTCCTGTCATTCTGTCCAAGATCTCCTCGAGTGATACCTTTCACAGTGGTTGGAAGTGGTAGCGTGTGCCATTTAGTTCTGGCCTCAGGGTCCTAGAGGCCCAGGTTCCCTATTAGTTCTTTTTTTTAAATTTCTTTAATTACTTTATTTTAATCATTTAATTGGGGCTTATACAACTCTTATCACAATCCATACATCCATCAGTTGTGTAAAGCACACCCTCCTCATTCTCAAAACATTTGCTTTCTGCTTGGGCTCCTGGAATCAGCTCCTCATTTTTCTTCTTTTTTTTCCCTCTCCCTTCCCCTTCCCCCCTCCCTCATGAACCCTTGATAATTTATAAATTATTATTTTGTCATATCTTACACTGCCCGACGTCTCCTTTCACCGACCTTTCTGTTGTCCATCCCCCAGGGAGGAGGCTATACATAGATCCTTATAATCAGTTCCCCACTTCCCTCCTCCCTCCCGGTATCACCACTCATTAGTTCTTTAGATCAATTGTTCCTGTGCATCTTTTTCTTCACTCTTTGTTGCCCAGGTAGGGAGAGAGCAGTACTTTCACCTTAGATAGCCTCTTATAAGTTTCTGAGACCTCTATCATTGCTCACCAAAGTAATATGTAGAACATTGTTCTTGGGAATGTGTTATACCAAACGACCATGTCCCCCATGACTACGGTCCTGCGTCCTGAGGACCAGCCACTCATTTCCTCAAGGTGTTTTGGTATGGCCAAAGACTTAGCCCCTATGTTCTCAATTCATGGATATGTTTATACCTATGTAGAAATATCCTGTCAGTCTCTTATGAACAGGCATGTTCTTGGTGTGGTTCTAAAACATTGGAAAGCAAGGGGAAGAAATGTCAAAAGATTAAGTAAAATTTCTATTTTTACATATATTGTACCTTTGCGGCGCATGATTAAGCACTCAACTGCCAACCATAAAGTCACAGTTTGCATCCTCCAGAACATCCTGGGAAGCCCTGGGAAAGGCTGTTGCACCCAATCCTGTAGCATCACTCTGAGTCAGAATTTGCTGGTGTCTGCAGCACCGCCGTGCTGCAGGTTTGACAGCGACCTTGTGATAAGTCATACAGTGAAGAGTGTTACTACCGTTACTCTTGTCATCTCCAGGCCTTTTGTATCCTGTGATTAAAGGATTGAACAAGGTTCCCGTGTTTCCATATGTAACATGACTGTGTACTATTTTTCATCCTTGCTCCCAAAGCAGTTATAGCCTAAAAACAACACCCGCCCCCTCCTTGCCCCTCCCGCCCCCCCACTTTGAGCAGCTCTGCTCTGTCTCATACGGCTACTACTTATGAGTCAGTCATCTGACGGCAGCAGATTTGGTTTGACATATTGATCTCTTTACTTGTAGGTGTGTACAAAGGCTGTGCAAAGTTTGTGGAACAATATCATTTAAAAATAACAGATTTTTTCCATAGACTTCTTGAAGCCCTCTGATGTTTGTTGATAGTCTCTAAGGTCTACCACTCCTGGGCCCAACTATTTATTTCCCAACATGCTTTCTTCCTTCTGTAGGCTCTCACTCAACAGAAAACTAGGGAGTCTCTCTCCTTGCTCTTTCTCATCGAAATATACTTGGGCTTTTTCCTTTTCCTTTTTATGCATGGTATTTATTTAATTATCCTTTTGTTTATAAAATAGGCAGTACCAAGAAGCAAAAGAAACATATTCTGATCTGGAAAATAAAGTAAAGACTTTAAAAAGATTTATTAAATTGCTGGAAGAAATAATGGGCCTTAGATTCAGAACATACCAGCAGTTTAGAAGGTAAGTGAGTTATAAACAAATTGACCATGTATTACACATTTTTGTGTTTTCTTTGTTCTCATATTGGCCTTTATAAATACAGAAATTAAAGTGGAAGAACATTACACAGTTTAGTTATAGAACAGACTGCCAGTGCTTGCTTTCTCAGCTAGGACTCGGCATACTGTAATTTAAATCAGAATTCTAAATGTAAAAGGAACCTTGGAATGTGGTTATCCAGTTTTCCCATTCTCTTAGTATTCTGTACTAAATAACTTATCGATGACTCTGCGGTAGTTCATTCGTTCCGAAGCTTCCCCTTTGAGTCTTGACACTCTCTTCTTCGGGGATACCCGTGTCTGGTAGGAGCTGTTAAGGCAGTGCATACTGTTTGCTTTGCCATGATCTGTTAGAAAGGTGCAGCTTTATGAATTCAGAAACTCTGTTGTGTTTCCTGTTATCTCCAATGCCTAGAATTGAGCCCGGAATTTAGCAGGAGATAGATACATACAATGAGGATTCAAACCACTTGTGGAAAAATTCCTTTCTTTAAATCCTGTTTTCCACAAGTTTTTTAAAAGCCCCTGGTGTTGATTGAACGAATAAAGACAGTTATAGGGAAACTAGTTGTTACACTCCCAGTGGACAGACTCAGAGGGTTCGCTGGTTAAGCCCAGCGAAAATTATGAACAAAAGAAAGCCAAGGGCAGTGTTTAGGTAGAGATGAGCCCTTTACGAGCTTGGACTAAAGACAACCCCAGTCCCGTCGGTTCTTTCCAGCTTTCCCTAGAGACAGTCACCCAGCAACATGTTCTCTGCGCTGTGCTCAAGTGGAACAACTGTACAAATATCCAGCTCTAAACATGCTTGGGGGAATTTAAAGAAAGCCACTGAGTGAGAGGATTTTTGCCTTTTGTCCATAAGTTTTTGGGATGTGTGTTTCAGTAAAAGGCGAAATATTAAGATTTGAATTAAATGGGATTCATTTTTGTGCTTTTGAGGCTACTTGTAGGCTCTGTTAGTACAGACCAGACCTGCTGTTAGTCAAAGGCTAATTCTTTTTCTTGGCCAAGGAATCCTCTTCTGGCCCTCTGTGAGTTTCAGGGATTGTTGCCTCTGATACTTCGTGGTTTTTATTTTCCCGTGATTGGGTGATGTCTTCATACATATGCACCAATCAACAGTGGGCTGAAGACTGGGGCAGGATCGCCCGTTCTCTGTGCAGCTTTTACCCTCTGATTCTCTGCCTTGTGAACTTCAGTGCCCTTGGCTCCCCGGCACTGCCCTCAAACCAGAAGCCTTCCAGGCTTTGCCCTTATTCACCCCCGTATGTTTCCCTAGTAGTCATTTGAAGCAGGAATTAGGTTTATCTTGTTAGTCTCCATCTTTCAGAGATCACTGGCCTGTGCAATCTGATGTCCACAAGGTCTGAAAACTCTTGTTCCCTAGATTCAACCCATTTTTCAGTAGTTTTAGAGCGGGAATCCAATCCCCAGTACTTCATGTCCAGAAGCAGAATACGATTTGGTGTTTTTAACATATATTGTCGGGGGGCGGGGGGATAAAGTTTAATTTGTACGAAAGTTTGTGTTTTATAGTTGATAGAAAGTTCTGAACTTAGACTACCAGTGTTTGCTCTAGCAACAAATGAAAACTCAAAGGAACTAGATGATGACTGACTACTAAAACAAAGTGCTCTAAAAGGAATAGTCAAAGATCCCGGATAGATGGGGGACAAACCTAATTCATAAGAAGACCAGGCTTGCTGCTGAATAGAGACTAGTGGAATCCCCAAGAATTTGGTCCTTGGTCACCCAGAGGGTTTTGGAACTGAGCTTGTCCTGGTGACTCCACTTCCAGCCAAACAATAGAGAGGTCTGTGAGGGGGAATAATACCACTACTGATGTATGCGTGCTTTAGACTAACTGACCACGGGTTGTTGGTGGGGGTGTCCCGGAGGCAGCATTACCCCAAGAGCAAAGTTGAGACAGATTATGATAGGTGGAGGAGTTAAGACAGGCAGCATAGGAAGAAGGTGGGATGGATCATTTTATTCTGTCACATGGGTGTCACTGTGCATCAAAGTTTATTCAACCACACACTAAACCAGCAACAGTGTATGCTAACCACATGAGTAAAATAAAACCATCCAAGTCAAGACTGATGAAAAGCAGGTTAGTTAAAATAATTGAAAGGGAAAGTTCTATGTATTTTCCAAGAGAATGTCACATAATAAGTAGAGAAAGTGATGAATTTTGCATTGTTCTGGGCAATATGGAAAGCATCCTAGTACAGAAAATTGCCATTATTGTCCCTGTGAAGGAGAGATAAGGCAGGCAAATGAGTAGGCCGTTTATCTGTTTTCCTTCCTCACACAAGAAATGAAGCCTCTTAAGGACAAGGTTTGTATTAGTGTGCCGTCTTACATAAATTTGTTGAATTATTTTACATTCATATAGACCAACCATTTCAAGAGGTAGCATATAATCAATAATTAAAGGAATCAGTCCAAGCTACACTGAAGGCATTAGTGGTGAGGGGCGGGAGGCTCCAGGGACTGAGCCTAAGTAACCTCCCAAGAATCAAAAGTTTTACTTTCCATGCCCTTTTTATTCTTTCTCTTGAAAAGTTCCATGTTTTTATCAGCTATTGCAAGAGCACTGGTGGCCTAGTGGTTATGAACCGGGCTGCTATCTGAAAGGTCTGCAGTTTGAAACCACCAGCCTCTCTGAGACCGGGCTTTCTACTCTCATAAACAGTTAAAGTCACAAACCCACGGGCTGTGATAGCCTGCCCTATAGGGTCACTATGGATCAGCATTGACTCAATGGCAGGGCGGGAGGGAGTGGAGAGCCATTGCAGTGAGAGTCCCAGGTACCTGATACCAACTTCTCTGTCTCCCATAGCTTTTAAGCTGGGTTCAGTAACTCATTGCTGTGGCCACATGGAGCTCAGACAATATTTGTGATTTAGGCTTTATCAAGGAAGTTAGCAATACATTCAGGGGAGAAATGCCCAGGGTACAGTCCTCAGTCGGGACAGTCCCTTCTCTGCCATGCACACAGACCCTCGGTCTCCAGCCTGGCTTCTACCTCACTCACACAATGTTTCAAAGCTCTTTTAGGCCTGCTGATAAAGGACATAAGGGCATGCCATTCTGCTTTTAAGTCTGGACTTGAAGCCCATCAGCTTCACCACTGTGGATCAGGAAACTCAGTGCACTTGATTAAGTTCCCAGAGGCAACACACTGTAAAAAACTAGCCTCATGCCCAAAAGCACTCCTCTTTACTTGCTCTTTACAGTCACCAAAGGGTACACCAGAGTTACAGCCTTTTCACCATACTCAGTCTATCTGTATGCTGAGCAGATAACACAAGAAGCTGGAGCTTATGAAGAACTTGGCATCATGATTGGAAGACTAATTAACCTGAGTTGTGCAGATGACACAACCTTACTTGTTGAAAGCAAAGAGGACTGAGTCATTTGCTGATGAAGATCAAGTGTTGCAGCTTTCAGTATGCAGCACAACTCAATATAAAGAAAATAGAAATCTTCGCAACAGGAACCAGAGAAGGCAATAAATAGAGGAAAGATTGAAGCTGTCAGGGATTTCATTACTTGGAGCACAGTTGACATCCTTGGGATCAGGAGTCAAGAAATTGGGCAGTTCTGTGCAAGACCTCTGAAAAATGTCACTTGGCTACCTAAGGTCTACTGACCCAAGCTATGGCATTTCTAATTGCCTCATAGGTATTTGAATACTAGACAGTGAATAAGGAAAACTGGGGAAAATGTGATGCATTTGAATCCTGGTGTTGGCCAAAGAATATTCAAAGTACCATGGACTGCCATAAAATCAAATACACTAGTTTTGGAGAAGTACAGGTAGAATGCTCCCTGAGCAGCGAGGATAGGGAGAGGTCATCTCTTTGGACATGTTCTCAGGAGAGACCTGTCCCTGGCAAAAAGCATCATGCTGGGTGGAGGGGCAGTGTAAAAGAGGAAGGTCCTCAGTGAGGGGGGATTGACCCAGCGGGCTCAAATGTGACATTGGGTTTGAAGATGCAAGACATGGCAGTGTCACATTCTCTTGAATAGCATCACTCTGAGTTGGAACTGACTCAGCGGCATTTATAATACAGTGGAGTTAGACAAAATGGTGTCTCTTTCTCCTTATAAATGTTTATTACAAAAGTAAGTGAACTGGTAGAAATGTGAGGACACACAGGCAGTTCCCTGATTGTAAACTCAATCAGTCCCCAAATGTGTCTGTAAGATTGATTATATGGTTTAGTTGGGACAGGCAGGTCTAATGGAAGGCTCTGAGTCGGAACTGGCACCTAGGCAAAAGGCAAGAAGAGACTTGCAGCCTCTACACAGATTTAAAAGCTGCATGTGTGCAGTAAGTGAAGATGATGGCAGCCAAGTTTGTTGCAAGAGAGTTGGTTGAATCATTTGAAAGTGAGAGCAGATTACATAACATTAAAGTAGGACTTTGAAATTAGTGACCATCTGCACCACATTGAGTATATATGGCTCTACTCAGCCCTACCATTAATCCACTCTTATCCATCAGGCTCTTAAAAGGACTTACTGTGCCTTTGCTGGATCTCCCATTGTAATAGGTCAACCTTAATTGTTCTCCTCTGCCAACTGCGGCAGCTCCCCCAAATGCTGAAAATCCAGGTGTGTGTTTGCTTCACTAGCCATAACAGAGCTCGTGCAAAGCAAGTAGTCGTCTGTAAACAGAACATTCCGTAATTTGGGGGATTGCTTGAACAAATAAATATAAAAGATGCAGGTAGAAAAAGAACCTAAAATCTTGCCTATTGGGAACAAATGTCAACATTTTGGTATACTGTTGTTTACTGTTTTTACGTAGACTTTTTTCTTACATCATACTAAATAGTTTCGTATTTTTTTCTTCTTTTTAATGTACCAAATTTCTTTCTTAGGTGTTTGACCTTACGCTGTAAGTTATACTTTGACAACTTATTATCTCAACGGGCTTATTGTGGAAAAATGAATTTTGATCACAAAGGCGAAACCCTTAGTATATCAGTAAGTATTTTAAGTTACAGAATTTTAATTGTTAGGAAAATTAGCTGATTCTTTTAATGAAACATTGGTTAGCTTAATCCTATTATCTATGGAACACAAAATAACTTATTTTTAAATTAAGAATAGCTCTTGCCAAAATGTTGAAAATTAAGTTTACTAGCTGTAGTTGAGTCTAATCTGATTAACACCGGTTAATCAGATTATTTTATTATGATCATATTTAGGAATTTTCTTTCAAGGACATATAGTTACCTTTCATTTCACTCCAGTAGTTTCATTTTTTTAATTCGTGCAGCATTTTTAATTATGTGCATTATTGTAAGTAGTCCATACTATCCAGTCTCACCGTAAGAAGCCAAGAATTAATACCCCAAAGAATGCTCTATCCATGGCTTCATACAATTAACTCATGAAGGTATCCCTAGATTAGGCCTCGTTTGGGTAAACAAAGCCACAACATTTCACTTTCTAAAGTCTGTGTAGATTCCTTTGTAATTCATAAAGGCGGGTGTGGGAAGATGGGACATAGGAAACTGTGTAGACAGGGATGCAGGCTTTCTGAATGATCTGAGCAAAAATGACTGCCATGAAAACTTCTTTTAGAAGAGTTAGTGCCAGATTAGAGCCCCTGTGGTATAGTGAGTCACACCTCGAGCTGTTTATGACAAGACTCACAACTGAAACTACCAGCCACTAGCAGGAGAAAGACAGGACTTGGTACTGAGTCTCGGAACCCTCGTGGCGGTTCTACCCTGCCCTGTAGGGTCTCTGAGTAAGCAGCAACTCGATGGCAGTCAGCTTGGTTTTTGTTTTGAGTCTGAGTTTGAAACCCAGAGTTGGATATTCAAGATGTGCCATTCTGCTCCATTTCTTCCCCACTCCCCCTGGTGTTCCTGGTTCTATCATGTGCTGCAGTGTCCCACGGAGAATCACAAAATGTGAAGGAAACATCTCATGTGGTGGTGGGTGCTGTTCAGTCCCAAATCCACAGAGGTGGGCCAAAAACAGGGTCCAGAGCCAGAATCTAAAAATGTCCCCAAAAGTCCGTCAGTCTACCAAAAATCAGAAAAATAGAGGTATGGCTTTGATGGAGGTGTGAGTTTTTGTTGTTGTGTTTTGCCTTTTATATGACCACACCTCCAAGGAAAACGAAGGATGGTGTCTTAATCCGCACCCTCTAGTAACATAGCGTCGCCCCCCGCCCCCCACCCCAAGGAAACAGGTGTGACTTGGTTCATACTCTCCACCAAAGTCCAGTCTTACCCTAATTCTGACCATAGTGTAGTAGAGAACACCCTCCAAGATGGGATGAGAGCACAGGCAGAGTCCGGAAGCTAATCACCACAGAAGGAATTGGGACTCAGGGCCATGGTAGTGGGTCACAACTCTCTGGTACAGATGCTGTGCATCATAGCCGTCTGCTTTCCCACTTGGAGTGTCTGCTGCCTTGATCTTCTGCATCGGAACCAAAGTAGGAAGTTAGATTTATTCTCCCCGTGTTTAAATTTCTTCTGATACATCATTAATAGCTCCTTTACACCTGTCTCTTTTTAAAATTTTATTTCATGAGATTCAGATAATTATGAAAGCTCCATATCTGAATGAATTGGCAGGAATTCTGCTTTATAGGTAGGGGGCATAGTATGTAATAGTAGTCCAGAGTTCTCACTGCATACGATGAAAAATACAAATAAATCACAACAATCCAGAGAAACCCTAGAGAAAAAGAAGAGCCCCTGGGACGGGGGAGCCTGTTCAGGGTCATCTAACAGAGATGCTGGACGTTTTCTTTCCTGGAGGCTTTTTGCCGGTTGTGATCACTCAGTGGTAGAAGGAGACTGACAAAGAGAAAGAAACGGTGAAGGAAAAAGGGACCCGTCTTTATAAGTATTTCATGATCTTGAATTACCACGTAAAGTTGATAACTTAAAATTACAAGGGAGAGCACACTAGTATTTTTAGCCATGAATGATGTGGTAAAAAAAAATAGAATTAATGACAAAATGGATACAAGTTTCAACAGACATGGAATATATAAGAATCAGTCTAGAACACTCTGCGCCCCCCCACCCACCCCCAACCCCAACCCCTGCATTGCCATCAAGTAGCTCTTGCCTCACAGAGATGCTGCGGGACAAAGTGGACCTGCTCCACGGGGTTTCCAAGGCTGTAATAACCTTTACAGACACAGACGGCCCTCCGGACGTTTGTGTCTTTCTCTCCACTGGACGCGGGAGAAAGACCAACCCCGTGATCTTTAAGAGGTCCAAAGGGGAAACAAGCAAACCTAACAGCATAAAATCAAAACAGAATTTTGAAATGAACTTGAGATATACAAAGGGAGGTTGTTAGAACCTGTGATTAAGGGTGCTTGGAATCATAGTAAGATAAAAGAAAGAAAGGTGCGAGGATTTGAAGAAATAGGAAATAAATAGATCAGGAATCACCATGAACTCCAAGTGAGATAAATACAAAGAAAGCCACAGTAAACACAAACTAACACCCACTTAATCTTAAATGGACCCAGAGAAACACATGAGCAGTACACTTTCCAAGGAGCAGCAATAAAATTGAAGGCAGGGTTTCTGGTATCTGGAGGTGATTATCAACTGCTACATTTCAAAACAGCAAAGAAATTTAAACAGGAGAACATAAAAACTTGTATGTAGAATTCTCTAACTAGCAAAAATATCCTTCAAAAATGAAAACGATAACGAGATGGTTGTACACAAGCAAAAACTATTTTTTATTACACTTGACCCATGAGAAATACTAAAGGTTTTCAGGGAAAGAAAAATGCTCCCTGGTGGCAACATGGAACTGTAGGAAAGAACAGAGCAATTCAAAAGGCAGATTTGTTGGTAAATATAAAATAGTTTCAACTATCTAAAGCAGTAATTTGAGTGTCTTCAGGGGCGACAAAAAGTGAAGCAGCAATAGCACCAAAAAGAGAGGAGTACAAAGCAGTTAAACTATCATAAGATCTTTGCATGGTCCCCAAAGTAATACTAGTAATAATTTCAGATAACCTGGTAAAGATGCATATTGCAATCTCGATTAGCCATTGAAAGCATTAGAGAAGCACGTGTTAGGCCAGGTATAGCCAGGATGCCCCGTAGAACCATCACTAACCTTCGAATCCAAGGAGCCAAGTTTCATGAAGTGTTTAGTTGGATGTAAGTAGCCTCACTACTTTTACTTTTCCGTGGTTTATTTTGTTGTTGTCCTTGTTGAAAGTATATAGTTCACACAGCTTAGCAAATATTCTTAATGGTGGAATATTAAACACTTCTCCCCCAAGATTAGGAGTGGGGCAAAACTGTCTGCTGTCATCACCTCTATTTAGCATTTTACTAGGTGTTGTAGCCAAAGCAGAATAAATTAAAGGTCCGCAATGAAGAAGTAAAACGATTGTCCTTCACAGGTGATAGCATATTTTTTGAAAATCCAAAAGAATTCATATGTGAACTCAGCTGTTCTAACAGATCATTTGGAAAATAAGTTAAGATATTTTATCCAATAGCACTAGATAAGTGAAATAGAAAAACATCTAAATTTTATACACTATATAAACAAAGCTATGAAGAGAATTTTAAAATCCTGAATGAGTGGAAAGATAAGCCATGTTCATAGATTGCAAGACTAAATTCTTAAGAAAATTTATCTTCAGATTTAGTGCAATCTCAATTTCAGTGGAGCGTTAAAGAAATTGACAAGCCAATTCTAAAAATAGTATTCAAATGTAATGTATCCAGAGTAGCAAAGCTGTGTGAAGAGCATTATCAAGCATCAAACTTCACTGTACAGCCATAATTATTAAAGATGGTGTGGTAGTCATTGATAAACGGATGAACAACCAGCCCATTGAAACGCAATCGGAAGCCCCCACACACCATAAAAGGTCTCCAGTGCAAGCCCAAAGAAAATGGGTGGCGCCTTCCTGAATGGTGTTGGGCCGATTGGATATCCTGTTGGTAAAGTGAAGACATGGTAAACTCTGACCCCATCCTCAACATTCCCTGGAGACCTTAGGGACGGCTACAAGATGAATGAACCAGGATTCATGTCTCACCCGACTCCCCAAGCTTTCAAGGGTGGATCATCAGCTCTGACAAAAGCACGAGCAGCGGAAGACAAAACAGAGAAATGGAACCTCATAAAAATTAAATAACATTTGTTCACCAGAGGACTTCAAACAAAATGAAGAAAAAACCTTCAGATGAGAAGAAAATCAAGACAATCATATATGTGATTTGGGACTAGTCATATCTAAACAATGAAAACCTACATTTATAGCTTACAACATAAAAATGAATAGCCCAATCAAAAAAATGGGCAGGGGGCTTGAACAGGTAATTCACCACGGAGGACATTGAAGTGGCCATCACGTCCATGTAAAGGTGCTGGGACCAGCATCATAAGCTGATACAGATGCATATCAAAACCACCACAAGATACCTCAGTAGAAGTCAGTGATCAAAAACATGTAAACAAAGGTGTTGGTTGGCAAGGCTATGGACACACTGAAATGCTCAGCCTTTGCTGATGGCAGCATAGCATGGTACGGCCTAGTGAAGTTCAGTTTGACAGGTCCTTGAAACGTTGAACTTAGAATTACCATCGAACCCAGCTCTCCCAATCCTTAAGCTCATATCGACCCTATGGAAACCGCCCTCGTCTGTTTCTGAGTCTAGCAATTTACTAGAATAGAATGCCTCATCTTTATCCTTGGGGTGGACTTGAACTTGCCAGCCTTGCATCTAGCAGCCCAACAAGTAGCCCACTATGCCTCCAGGGCTCCACTATGTCTTTTCTGGTCATTTTTCAGCTGAAAGTCCAATCTTTCTACAAGGCAACCCACATGCAGTGACCGGTGAGTGGGGCGCATGAAGGCTCAGCCCCAGCAACATGAGGTAACCAGAACATCTTTCTCAAAGGAAAAGTTGCTAATTTGGATTTTATTAAAGTCCCAAAGCTTTGTTAATCAAAAAGTAACACTGAGAATGATAAGCCAATTCCTATAATAAATACATCTAATGGAAGACTCAGTCAAAATAGAGAACTAAATCGTAAGAAAAAGAATGTCAGTGTCAGAGGCCTTCACGGTAGCTTCCTAAATTTAAGATATCCAATTGAAAAATAAGTACAGGGAAAAGTGTTCAGTGTCGTAGCTGCTACAGAAATGCCCATTGATACTAGCAGCAGTTCCTGGGTGTCTCCTCAGGAGACAGATGGGGCCTTGTGTGCCTTTACATGTGTTCGTCTCAGAAACCCTAAGGAGCAGCGTGACTTCCCTGCAGGGTCAACTTGCTGGCGGTGGGTTTTGTTTCGTTGAAGTAGGTTGGCGGTGAGAGCCCACTTGGCGCTGAAGAAAAAGGCCTGGCGTTTGCCTTCTGTGATGTTTATTACAGCCAGAGAAACTCTCCTCCTTTCAGCACCTGCACCAACACGAGTCAGAATCTGCTCGTGGACACAACCCAGAGTCCATGGGCAGATAGCGGAGAAACAAAATCTGGTGTAGCCATACAATGGAGCATTATTCAGCCGCAAAGAGAAATTAAATTCTGGTCCACAGCATGGATGACCTTTGGAATCATGGTGCTAATGAAAACAACTGACATAAAAGGGCACATCGGGCGTGATCCCGCTGAGATGACATGTGTGGAAGAGGCAGTGCACACCAGTATGGGTTGAATTGCGCCCCACACTCACAAATACTCCATGCCTTCAAGTCAATGCTGGCTCGTAGCGACCCCCTGAGTTTCCGAGACTGTAACTGTTTGTGGGAATAGGAAGCCCAGTCTTTCTCCCGAGGAGCTGCTGGTGGCTTCCCAGCCCAACGTGTAACCACCACTACACCACCAGGTAGGTGTTAGGAACCATACCTGTGGTCATAATCCTACGTGCGTGAGGCAGGTTTCCTGTATGATGTGTCTCGAATTCATCTCTTTTGAGATGTGAAAGATTGAAGAAGCTGTCGTGCCAGCAGAGCTCCAGTGAAGAGAAATGCCAAGCCATGTGAAGATCTCCTAGGCACCAGGAGACAGAAGGGGAGGGAGGGACACCGACTTTGTCCCCGAGCTGACACAGAAAGCCTTTCCCTGGAGCTAATAATGCTGAGTTCCAACCTCCTAAACTGAGAAGATGCATCTTTGTGCTAACGTCCTCCACTGGGGGACTTTTGAGACAGTAGCACTAGATTATTGAGACACATGGAGGCAACAAACGTTTACGAGACTCAGGAACAAACCATTGCTACTAGGGTTCATTTCACGTACGCACAGATTTATTCCAGACCAAGTAAGTTCAAACATGTCTCTGTGGTCAGCGAGCGGCTGCAGACAATTTCTCTCAGTAATATTCTTGTCTCAGTTGCCTCAGGGTGCCTACAATAGAAAAAGGTCCAGTCCCAGCCATGGCTTCCAGATGTCGGGGGCTTGTTAAATGTAAGGCAGAGAGGTCAGTTCAGAAGGTGATAGTGGGTAGTCTTGATAGATTTTCCATAAGGACATAGGATAATCATGGGTGCTTATTATGAAGACATTGTTGAAGAAAATTGCATGATGAAAAAAGGTCCAGGAAAACTAAAGCATTTTTTTTCTGTCTTGACAACCTGCTCGTTCTTTGAGGGAAGCAGGTTCTGTTCTCTGAGAATTTAATTGTGAAACCTTTCTTCATTCACTCTACAGCCCTGAACTTGACCTTTAGACTTACTTTATCCCCCCAAATCAAAGAACATTTAAAAGGAAACACCAGTCCCTTGATCAATGTCAAGACCGGCGTTTTGACACGGTGTAAATCAAAGAGTACAGAATTCTTTGGGGAGGGTTAGAGAAATGAAAATACCGCCTTCAGAAGTGGATAGGTCTGGATAGGAGGATATGTTGATACACAATAGCTTCTCATGTTGATAATTTTGTTTAGTGATGATGGTTGTACATGATTAATCAATGTCTCTGAGTTGTGCTCATAAAAATGGTTGAAGTTGCAAATATTTGATCTATCAATATGTACACATACACACACATACATATATATATATTTCCCTACAATAAAAGTTGTTAAAAAGAGTTCAAGTGGCAAATGTAACATATATTTATATTTCCCTCAATAATATGTGTAGTGGTGTTTGTGGTTACATGTTACTGCAAGGCTAGGAGTTCAAAACCACCAGCTTCTCGGCAAGAGAAAGAGACTCTCCTCCCACGGAGAGTTACCTTACCATCTGGGAAACCAGTTCTACCCTGTCCTGTTGGGTCACCATGAGGCAGAACGAACTCGATGGCAGTGAGTTTGGTTTGGACCGTATCAAAGCATCCTTTGACTTACTTAGTTTGCATTTTCCAGATAAGGAAACTGAAATAAGGGAAATGACGTTAGTGTTTTACAAATTTTATAAACCTCTGTAATACACCTAAGACATCATTCTTTGTAATGTATCTAAGATGTCATTCCTTAAATATATGCAAAATGCCCTTTAGAGCAAAGAATTGCACCTTAAGCACTGAATTCTTTTGTGGGTTTTGTGTTTAGGTTGGTCTGCTTTGTGTTTTTTCTGCTTAGGTTAATGTTGCTGTTTT